GGGGGGGGCGGGGAGCACTGAGCTGCACCGTTCGCCAGGAGCACCTCCAGACTCATCTTTCCCCTTTTAGAGGAAATGACACCTTTGGAAACCATAATATGGGCACCAGGGCATTTAAGCAGAAGTAACAACTTTTACGACCTTTCTAAGCTTCTACCGGGATTTCTGGGTGTGCAGTAAACACCAACTCTGGCATCACCAATACTCCAAACCATGCAGTCTTTTATAGGTATTTGTCCCTTTCTTATAAAGCAGTAGGGACAAGCCTCAGGCATACTTCATGAACATCTCAGTACTGTCCAGACACATTTGATAGTGCACACTAAAAACACAATCTGGGGGTGCCTGGGGCATTCAGTCGGTTAAGCATCCGACTTCAGCTCAGGTCATGATCTCATGGTTTGTGGGTTGTGCGTTTGAGCCCTGCGTCGGGCTCTGTGCTGACAGCTCAGAGTCTGGAGCCTGTTTCAGATTCTGTGTCTCCCTCTCTCTCTGCCCCTCCCCTGCTCACGCTGTCTCTCTCAGAAATAAATAAAACATTAAAAAAAAACAAAACAGGGGCGCCTGGGTGGCTTAGTCGGTTAAGCGTCCGACTTTCGCTTAGGTCATGATCTCGCGGTTCGTGGGTTCGAGCCCCGCGTCGGGCTCTGTGCTGACTGCTAGCTCAGAGCCTGGAGCCTGTTTCAGTCTGTGACTCCCTCTCTCTCTGACCCTCCCCTGCTCACGCTGTCTCTCTCTCTCCTAGAAATAAACAAAACATCAAAAACAGAACAAAACAAAAACAAGCTCTCACACCCGGTCAGTAAGAAAATCCAAGCCAACGAAATATCTTTAACTCTCCTCCACTGAACCAACACGATGACTAAGATGCGCTTTTTCCTAAGACCAGCTCTCCTCCTGCCAGAGCTCGCGGACTCGTGGTGGCACAGCTCCTTCCAGCCCAGGACCCGGGAGGACCGGCTGCGGGAGGACCAGAGCGGGCTCCGAAAGCCTGCGCCCATGAGCTTCACTTTCAAGCAGCAGGCAAACGGAAAGTGGTGGGTGTCTCCAGGTGTGCAGGGCAGGTGGAGCCCACGACAAATCGGACCCACGCACCCCAGCAGTGCACGCACCCCCAGAGGGCACCCGCCCCCAGCAGACACGCAGCCCTAGCAGGTACGCAGCCTAGCAGGCACCCCCAGTAGTGCATGGCGCCTGGTCCCATCACATGTGGTGTCCAGAGCAAGTGTGCAAGCTGCACAGAGAATCCGGCTGTGCACACGTACACGATACCGTCAGCCCACAGCACTGAGCCTACCTGCTACTTACCATTTTGAATCATGTAGTGCAAAATCTGTTCAATGATGGACACCACATAGCTGGCATCCTGTAAAACAGGCAAGTAAGTGTCCTCAGACGAAAACACCTCAAGCATTCTCATTGGAAGTGCAACATTCAGGCTGTCGTCGTTGCAGTTCTGCAATAACCTGTAAAAAAGAAGAAAACAGTATTCACGTACTTACTGGACGGCGAGTGTCACCCTGAGCTCCCCCCACGGGCTTGACTCCCTCTGCGCTAGTGGTGGGTGTCTCTGAATAGGCAGCATCAAAGGTGGACAGGAAAATAACCACACATGCTGCCATTCAGTTTTTTGCAGTGCTTATCACGTGCCGGACAGCATGGCAGCACTGGGTTTACAGGGATGGAAAAATGCACAGTCACAAAGGGAGAAACACGAGAAAAATCAAAGATCACAAACACCGTGTGAGAATTCTTATAATCCGTGGATCTCTTTCAGGGCCTATCATCTCCCTCAAAGACACCTTCAAGACTGTGCGCCTGTAGGGAGGTGCTGACGTGGTGGGGTTTACCTGCAACAGAGGCTCATCAATCTCTTTATTTGAAATAAGCATGTGAGTCTCTCAGACCCATCCAACTGCTGGACAAACAGAGAGCTGTGTTTAATTAGGTTCTGATACATCCATATCTGAAACAGCAAAACATAATCATAGGTCACTTTCAATCCATAAAGCTCATCGTTTACCAAATTACAGAACACTCCAAATTTCCTGAAGTGCTAAGGAGATAGTCATCAAACCATGATAAAAAGTACATCTTCTAGGGGTGCCTGGGGGGCTCAGTCAATTGAGCATCTGACTTTGGTCCAGGTCGTGATCTGAAGGTTCTTGAGCTCAAGCCCCACGTTGAGATCTGTGCTGACAGCTCAGAGCCTGGAGCCTGCTCTGGATTCTCTGTCTCCCTCTCTCTGTCTCTCAAAATGAATAAACATTAAAAAAAAAAAAAAAAAACCTCTCATCTAAATCTGAAATAAAAACAGTTCATTTGCAAAAATCAGCAACCCACAGTGAAAAATAAGTGAGAAAGACAGTATTAATCATAATGTACATAAGGCTATCTGTTTCTTTTTATTTTTTACTTTTTGCCTCTGTGTCTCCACTGTCCTCTCCTCTGGGATATTCCCCTCCCCTACCTCCAGGAAATTCTGCTGGGAAAGGCAATCACTCGGCCACACTCTCCCCAGGAAACGGTCAGTTGTGTAGGGTGTGGGGTGACAGAGATGGGAGAGAGCCTTTCACAATGTCGACACGTGTCAGATCGTTGTGGTGTTCACTTTAACTATCCTACAGCTTTATTTGCCAGCTATACCTCAGTGGGGTTGGGGGAGAAACAAAAGAGTCAGGGGTGTGGCCAGAACTGCCCAGTCTCCTGGACACAACAGCTGGTCAGTGAACTCCGCAAATGCCGAGTTCGATTTCTGTCTAACCGGCATCCCTGTGGGCGTGGCCACCATACATGATTTCGAAAACTCAGTACTTCACCAGGAACCTCTTCTGCCTTCTCTGCTGCACTTTTGTAAAACTGTTATTTGTTCATTTTGTAAGACCCATTAGAATGAGCTAAAATTAAGATGGCTTCTGAGATGTGGCTAGTTATCAATGCGCCACACGGCCTTCCCTTTGCTGGTTATCTTTAAGGTACTTCTCGAGAACTCTGACAGAACACTTATTTCGTGTAAAATGTTATCAGACAAAAATGTCCACGTAGGGGCGCCTGGGTGGCTTAGTCGGTTAAGCGTCCGACTTTCGCTTAGGTCATGATCTCGCCGTAGTGGGTTCGAGCCCCGCGTCGGGCTCTGTGCTGACTGCCAGCTCAGAGCCTGGAGCCTATTTCAGAGTCTGTATCTCCCTCTCTCTCTGACCCTCCCCTGCTCACGCTGTCTCTCTCTCTCTCTCTCCTAGAAATAAATTAAAAAAAAAAAAAAATGTCCACGTAAAGGTGCTTTATTTTTTTTTTTTAAATGTTTACTTTTGAGACAAAGAGAGAACATGTGAGTGGGGGAGGGGCAGAGGGAGAGTGAGACAGAGGATCCGAAGCAGGCTCCGTGCTGTCAGCACAGAGCCTGACGTGGGGATCGAACTCACAAACTGTGAGATCATGACCCGAGCTGAAGTCGGACGCTTAACTGAGTGAGCCCCCCGGGTGCCCCTCAAAAGCATTTTATGAAACAAATTCAGAGTATGTACTCAGTTGGGTAGAAATAATCTCTGTGACCCATTCCAGATATGAATTCACCTACATGCAAGCTTTCTTCCTGAGGTGTTTGGAGCTAACTGGTCCATCTTTTCTCAGGAGCTAATCGGATACAATACTTTCTATACAATCAGACACGCAGTTCATTCTAAATTACGTGCCATCTATAGAAACTTCAAGAATAAGGCTGCGAATATATTGATCAAGTAGTTATAGTTCAAGTTGCCTATGAAATAAGAAAAGCCAAAGCAGCAGTGACACACACTCTGGACTGCGTTCTCATACTGTATTTTACAACCTTGACAAATGTGCCAACAACACCCAAAAGGTTGTCCTATCACTACGTTAAACATTTACTTTGCCTAACTTGTTGTTGTTATTATTTACTAAATCCAGATGAGTAAAGTTTTAAAAATGCCTTACTCATCCTTTCATAGGAAGTGAACTGAGGATACGAAGGGAGTAAACCAAGAAAGCAGAAAGATAATGGAAGCAGGAGGCAGGATCTAAAACAAGCAAAGTGAGGGGGCGCCTGGGTGGCTCAGTCAGTTAAGCGTCCGACTTCACCTCAGGTCATGATCTCGCGGTTCGTGGGTTCGAGCCCCGCGTCGGGCTCTGTGCTGACAGTTAGCTCAGAGCCTGGAGCCTGTTTCGGATTCTGTGTCTCCCTCTCTCTCTGACCCTCCCCTGCTCACACTGTCTCTCTCTCTCTCTCTCAGAAATAAATAAAACATTTAAAAAAATTATAAAACAAGCAAAGTGAATAACTTTCCCAAGATAACGAGAGGCAAAGAATCCAATGGTGCAAGCAGCTCCTGAAATCCAAGAATAGGGATCTCCAGGGAAATGAAGCATCGGGCTGCCTGACATCTTTAGTCATGGAAAATTATACTGAGAGCAGTTTATAGTACTGTCCAAAGTGGAAGACGACTTTATCAAGAGACTCAAAGAAAATTAAATAAAAGTGAGGCAATTATTAACTCCAGAATAATCAAAGAAAATTAAAGCCAAACACCAGATACACAATAAAGTGTTCCTTTGTGCTCTGTATTTATATTTCCTCTGGGGATTTTCTAGCATGTATGGCTGTGGTACAGAAGACTTGTTTTTCATTGTGTACCATCGTTTAATATACTTTGAAATTTTTATTACAAGTAAACAACAATTTATAAGAATAAATACATATTTAACCTAATAAGTACACAGAAATCTCTTAATGTTCCCTGAGAGATGATACAGTAACAAATTACATTTTTTTAGAGTTTATTCATCTAAGTACCCACAGGTATTATCTAACAGTGCTCCTCGTCACTGATCACATCAGAAGCATATAAAATTTTAAAGTACTACAATTATATTCTGAATGTTTTAAGAGCAAGGCCCTGTATGTTAGAAATTTATATTCAAGTATTTTCAGGGGCACCGGGGTAGCTGAGTCCATTAAGCAGCTGATGATTTAGGTTCAGGTGATGATCTCAAGATTTGTGAGATCAAGCCCCATGTCTGGTTCCGTACTGACAGCATGGAGCTTGCTTAGGATTTTCTCTCCCAATAAATAAACTTTAAACTATTTACAGATACATGCTACGGTGTTTAGGTGCACCTCCCAGGGCTGACCGAAGGAACAGGTATGGGGGCTCTGGGTGCAAGGTGCTGATGACGGTCAGCACTGAGGAATGGGTACATGGACGATGGCTCAACAGATTCTCCTACTTTTTCTTATGTTTGAAAATTTCCATAATAAAACAGTGAAAAACACTACTGAAAATTTATATCGCTCTTGAAGAGGTAAAACACCCCCCAGAAAGAGGACCTACTGGGGTGGGCTGAGGGGAGTTCACAAATGCATGCTGGAGGGTTATCTGACCCCATTAAAAAAAATGCTGGAAAATACATAAATAAAGGCAAGGGAGAACATAGTTAACACTCACCAAACGTTTTGAGTCTTCGTTCTGTTTGTAGAAAAACAGAAGCCGCCTCACCAGAAGGGTAAGGTTGGGACCACTGGCAATGGAGAAAGTGCCACCGGACTGCGAGGCGCTGGCGTGGCGATCAAACGCGCTTCTCTGGACGGAGTGCTGGGGACAAGACAGAGGACACACGGCATGATGGGCGGGCGAGCAGCGCTGTGGCCCAGCTGTGCCCTGGCGTCCGGACGGCGGCGGGGGCTCACAGGGGCCGTTATGGCGCAGCTCTCGGGAAAAGGTGAAATAAAACCCAGAGAAACTGGGCTGGAATAAAGACCGTCCACTCCCTGTAAGAGTCTCCCGCCACTTCCTAACACTCTGATCTTCAGCTGCAGCCCATGTTTCTATTTTATTATTTTAAAGTCACCTCAAAACTCCCCTATCTGTAAAGCTATGTAAATATAAACTAATACAGTTAATTACTGGGGAAAACATTAACTTTCATTAAACAGGTGAACTAAAACACCCACAAAACGGATTCCACCTCTCAGCCTCAGAGGCCATGTTTTAAACAAGCTCTGGCAGGTCTTTCCAATTCGTTCTCAGTGTGAAGGCAAACTTACTTGCTGTTTCCGGTCTCGATAGCCTCGAATAAATGACTGTATAATTATTGCATTTTTCAATCTTCGCCTTTCCTCCTGCATGATGAAGGGAGGAGGGAAAAACTGGTCAGAGTGAATGGACATTTAGCCAGTAAAGACTTAAGAAAAAAAAGGAACTACAGAATTTACATATCACACAATTCAATCTTTCAAATGTACCATTTACCAATTTTTAATATATTCAAAGTCCAACTACCACCACTGTCTAGTTTTAGAATACTTCCATCACCCACCGCACACCCCTGTGCCCATTAGCACTCCTCTCCTGTTCCTGTCCTGGTCTCCCCATATCTGCTAACCAAATTTCAGTCTGTATGGGATTGCCTATTCTGGACATTTCTTATCCTGGAATCATATAATACGTGGCCTTCGTGTCACGCTTTTTTCACCTGGCATGATATTTTCAAGGCTCACCCATGTGCTGTCACGTATCAATACTTCACTACGTTTTACGGCCAATCAGTATTTCATTGTACGGCTGTCTCACATTTTGTTATCGTTTACGCCCGGCAGACACCCGGGCAGCCCCCTCTCTGGGCGCCTGTGAACAGTGCGGGGCACACACTCACGTAATGTTCTGTGTGGACACTGTGTTCATGTCTGTTGGGCACATGCTCAGGAGCAGAACTCATGTTGAGGAAGCTACCAGACTGTTATCCAAATGGGCTAAGCCACTTTACATCCCCCAGCACAGTGAGACTTCTAATAACAATTTCAGTTTTAAATATAAGAAGGAAAATAGACAACACAAACATCAATTTTAAAAGTCATTTTTCTCATTTCAAAGCAGAAACTCCAGTTTTGACAGGCTTAAGCCTGTCTTAAAATTTTCAGCGACCTAGCAAAAATATACATATTTTCACATCACGATGATAAGCAATGTAGCTACCATTGCTTGAAAGCCTATCATGTGCCAATTTGGAGATGCCTGACAATCTCAGACAAACGTTACTCCCGGTTTTATGATGCAGAAGCTGAAATTTCCATAAAGATACAGTGGTGCCGCTGGATGCGAGAATCACAATTCACGCTCAGGATGACACTAACACCCATACCCATCTTACCACGACACTGCCTCATGCTTTCTATGAGCGCCCCCTGCCAGGCCTGCAAGGCACACACACGCTCACCCAGAAGACCAATCAGGTCATGCAAGCGTACTTGCTGAGCTCCAAATGGTTATAGCAAAGAAACCCCGGAGCTTAAACCTAGTTTAGGAATCTATTCACACTGGGGCGCCTGGGTGGCTCAGTCGGTTAAGCGTCCGGCTTCGGCTCAGGTCAAGATCTCGCGGTTTGTGGGTTCGAAACCAACATCGGGCTCCGTGCTGACAGCTCAGAGCCTGGAGCCTGTTTCAGATTCTGTGTCTCCCTCTCTCTCTGACCTTCCCCTGCTCATGCTGTCTCTCTCTCTCAGAAATAAATAAAACAGTAAAGAAAATTTTTTAAAAAAGGAATTTATTCACACTATGATGATTCTAAGAGCACCTAATTAAAAATCCATCTACTGTCACATGAGTTTTTTATTTTATTTTTTTCATTCAGTGGTTCCTTGGGGAGGAAATCTTGGTGACATTCCAGTGTTCTGGTTGGGACCAGGACCTAACGGCTCCATCTCAGGCAGACTGGAAACAGATTGATCCTGACAAGGACTGAAGACTAGCAGCAGATCAGCTCAACCCTTTATTAGCTAAAGGTGACTAGTCACTAGGGGCACCTGGATGTCTTAGTCGGTTAAGCGTCCGACTTTCGCTGAGGTCATGATCTCGCAGTTCGTGGGTTTGAGCCCCGCATCGGGCTCTGTGCTGACTGCCAGCTCAGAGCCTGGAGCCTGTTTCAGAGTCTGTGTCTCCCTCTCTCTCTGACCCTCCCTTGCTCACGCTGTCTCTCTCTCTCTCTCTCTCTCTCTCCTAGAAATAAATAAAACATTAAAAAATAATCAGGCAAAAGACAAGAACTAAAAATCAAGAGAACAAACAACAGAAACAAACTCACAAGCGATCCAAATACTGGAGCTGAAAAATTATCTTTAACAATCTATAATTATGTTCATGAAATTAAAAGACAATTAAAATTACAATGTTCATAAAATTCAAATCAAAGAATCAAAATTCTGAAACTAAAAAAAAAATCTGAAATCTAGAGTTCAATGGATATATGCAACAATTAGACACTGGTAAAGAGATAATCTGTAAATTAGAAGTCACATCAGAAGAAATACCCAAACCAGAGCCAAAATATTCAAAAGGATAAATATACAGAAGAGTACAGGAGATGTACATGACACAAGGCAAAGGTCATATACATATGTGATATGAGTCCAAGAAGAAGAGAAGAGGAAGAATGAAGCAGAAACACTATTGGAGGCGATGAAAGCTGAGAATTTTCCGGAAAAGATGAAAAACACTAACCAATAAATGTCCTTTCAGTAGTCATTTTCAACTGTGAGCAATTTCACCACATTTGGTAATTTCTGGAGATATTTTTGGTTATCTCGGCCGGAGGGAGGGAGTGTTGTGGCATCTAGCGGGTACAGTAGAGGCCCTGGAGGCTGGTAAACACCCTTCGATGTACAGGATAAAGCCCCACAACAAAGAATTATCGGGTCCAAGATGTCAACAGTGCCGAGGGTAAGAAACCCCGCCTGAAAGTCTTTGTATTTGCCGCTTCCCGCACCAAGCAAGCTCTTCCTCCAGCTTTCCATAGGTGCTTCTTTCTCATCCTTCAGGAATTCTGCTCAACTCCACCCAGCTCAGGTCCTTCCCTGAACACCCGGTCCCACAGCAGGGCTTCCCAGCTCCTGTCATGTCACTCTTACTGCCTCACAGCACCTAGCACCGGCTCAACACCTTGGTGAATCTGTCTTCTATAACCACGCAAGAACATTATCTGTCCTTCTTATTTTTTTTGTTTCTGAGAGAGAAGGGAGAGCACGCAAGTGCACGAGCGGGGGAGGGACCGACAGAGACGGAGATTCCCAAGCACCCAGAACATTATCTGCCTTATTTACTATCTGTGTCCCCTGCAGGTAGAGCAGTCCCTGGAATGTAACACACTCTCAATTGCTATTTGCTAAAGGAACAAATGAATTGTTAGAAAACAAAACAAAAATCTAGAAAAGTAGGCCATAAAATGCTGTAATTGCTGATTAACCGATAAAATAAACCCACTGTCACCAGAAAGTTGACATGTAAAAGAAAGAATAAAACAGGCGCGTGGGTGGCTCAGTCAGTTAAGCATCTGACTCTTGGTCTTGGCTCAGGCAGAGATCTCAGGGTTTATGAGATTGAGTCCCGCGTCGGGCTCTGAGCTGACAGCATGGAGCCTGTTTGGGATTCTTTCTCTCCCTCTCTCTGCCCCTCCTCCACATGTGCATGTGTGCGTGCTCTCTCTCTCTCTTAAAATAAATAAATAGATATTTAAAAAAAAAGAATAAAACCACAAAGGCCGCAAGCTCCGTCGTCTCTTTTCTTTCTTCAGAGAGGTAAGGTAGCCGCCTTCACAGTCAGCTTGCTTCTTTTGCTTGCAAAATATGAACATCGTATTCTAAGCCTTTCTAGGTCTTCTGGAAACCACAGCACAAGCGAGCAACGGAACTCTGTAGAAGCCTGTGTCCCCCTGTATTCTGGAAACTGCCCTGTTAGCCCCCCTTTTCCACAGTGGTCCCAGAATAAATTACTTATTATAAAATTCAAAAAATCCAGAAAACTAAAGTTTAATAGACATAAAAATATGTATCCGGGTATGCCGCGTGTACCGTACACATATATAACAGCAAGGGCAGCGCTTATTTCAATGCTATGGAAAATGCTTCTCTAAAGGCACTATTACAAGCCGTTTTACCTCTCTCTTTCTTCTTTCTTCCTGAGTACGATGTAAAAGAGATGCCTTTTCTTCCTAAACACAAAAAGAGAAAAGGAAAAGATAAAGAAGGTTACAGTTTCAAAGTCTAAAGTACTCTCATATACAAATTATAGACTGTTTTGACCCAAAAGGGATTCTCAGCATCAGACATTCTGACTTCATGAGACATCTGAGGAACACGGGGTTAAACGGTCCCCTCCCGCCAGATGACAGTATTTCAGCAGTTTTCTAACAAAAAAATCTTTACTTCTTTACACACACAAGAGAGTTCCAGTGAAACCAGAAATGTCTGAATAATATCAGTGTCAATATCCTGGTTGTGATTATCATACTAGTTTTGCAAAATACAACCCGCAGGGGAAATCAGGCAATGCAAACAAAGGATCTTTCTGTATTATTTCTTTTTTTTTTTTATATTCTCTTTTTTTTTTTTTTAATTTTTTTATGTATTTCTAGGAGAGAGAGAGACAGCATGAGCAGGGGAGGGTCAGAGAGAGAGGGAGTCACAGACTGAAACAGGCTCCAGGCTCTGAGCTGGCAGTCAGCACAGAGCCCAACGCGGGGCTCGAACCCACGAACCGCGAGATCATGACCTAAGTCAAAGTCTGACGCTTAACCGACTAAGCCACCCAGGCGCCCCTCTTTCTGTATTATTTCTAACAGCTGTACATGAGTCTTCAATTCTCTCAATAAAAATTTTGATCAAACAATTTCTGTACTGTTACTGAATGTTAAAAAAATCTTTCTTCGTCATAAGTAAAACTAAATTTTGAACAAAATTACTCGGCATGTAGAAGGAACCAAAGAAATAAATGGGAAAGTTAAACATTTCAAATAAAATAAAAATATTTAAAGACAACCTTCCTCTCCCCAGAACAGTTCTAGCTTACAGTGTATGGGCAGCTTATTTTTACAAATGTAATTCAAAATAAAATTAATAGTCCAAGACACTATATATGGATCCTTACAAAAATAAATAAATTTCTTAACAAAAACAAACATACCATCAAAATAGTGTCAGAAGGCAAGTAATTAAGCCAACTTAAAATTATACATTAATAAGGGAGCCTGGGTAGCTCAGGTCCACCTTTGACTCAGGTCCAACTTTGGCTTAGGTCGTGATTTCACGGTTCAGGAGTTTGAGCCCCACGTCAGGCTCTCTGCTGTCAGCTCACAGCTCACTTCGGATCCTCGGTCCCTCTTTCTGCCCTTCCCCTATGCGTGTGTGCGTGCACACGCACTCTCTCTCTCTCTTTTCAAAAATAAACATTAAAAAATTATACACTGATATGTGAATCAACAGTGTGCAGAATGAAAAACTTCTCACTGACAAAATTTAATGCCAAAGAAATAAATCCAGAATGCCTAGCTGGCTCAGTCAGTAGACCATGTGACTCTTGATCTTGGGGTCATGAATTCAAGCCCCATGTTAGGAGGAGAGCTTACTTAAAAAGGGCTGGTGGTGGTGCCTGGGTGGCTCAGTCAGTTAAGCGTCTGACTTTGGCTCAGGTCATGATCTTGCAGTTCGTGGGTTTGAGCTCTGTGTCAGCTCTGTGCAGATGCTTGGAGCCTGGACCCTGCTTCAGATTCTGTGTCTCCCCCTCTCTCTGCCCCTCCCCTGCTTACCCTCTGTGTCTCAAAAATAAATAAACGTTAAAAAAATAAATAAAAAAAGAATAAGAAAAGAAATCCTCCAGATACTTTCTGCTATAGAAAATTTCATTTCTCGGGGACGCCTGGAGGCTCAGTTGGGAAAGGATCCACTCTTGATCTCAGTTCACATCATGATCTCACAGATTGTGGGTTTGAGCCTGGCTGGGGATCTCTCTCTCCCTCTCCCTGCTCATGTGTGCATGCACATACTCTCAAAATAAATAAACTTAAAAAAATTTTTTTAAAGAAAATTTCATTTCTTGAATTTCAAATAAAAAGCCTTTATGTACCACATGTTCAAAGTCAGAAAAACATTTTGTTTTAAATTTTAATTTAATTAAAAGGAGTAGGGAGAATGGAAAATCTATATGTTAAAAAGTGCCAAGTTATGATGGTCAGAATTATGGAAAGCTTCTAGAGAAAAACATAGACCAATTTCTAGCCATTATCGTCATGTCCATAATTCCCTTTCCTTCTTTCTCCATTTGTCCAGATTTAATATATGTTCATTATTTGGTTACAGCTAAAGAGCTAAGACTTCTTAAAATGGTACACACTGGCACAACTATGAAAAACATACTCATGTCTGAAATTAAACAGGCCGAAAAGGTCCAGGCTGGCAAAGCAGGCACTGAATTTACTTGCACACACAGGGGAGCTCCTCGTCCTCACGAACCCCGAAGCCCGGCACACGGGCCCCAGGACCTCATGGCTGCCGGCACCTTGCTGCTTTCATCTGCTCCCACACCTCGTGTGCATACGCATCCAACAAATGCTTACGAAATGACTGACAAACACTTCCTTTAAGTAAAACAAACTGGTCTATAAGAAGCAGTAAGCCCACCAGCTGAAAAGCACTTTTGGGTCCCTGCAACGCAGTACAGAGGCTACAACCGTTTAAAAATCAAAACAGGCGCTACGTACCAAAACGCACAATTAGACTCTACTTGACCACTAGAAGTCCTTCGAAAGTCTAAGTCTGAGGCTGATGATGTGGGAGGAGCCACGGAGCACAAGAGACAGGGCTGGCCATGTTGGCGGTGAATATTCCTAACTCCTGATGGCCTGTAAGTCCAATTCCCTGGACGCAGGACATCGTATAAACGTGAAGGTCACTCCTCGTCCCTGTGCGCAAGGGCTATAGAGTCTCCTACTTGAATGACAATTCATTTCAAAAAATAAAGGAAGTATATAACAAGCAATCCAAAATGCTGATATACACACAGACCAAAACCTCACGTTTTGATAATCTCAACAATAAAACTGTACTTTTGAAAATGCTAAGGCCTTTCAGAGAATACTCATGCTCCTTAAATACTCTGCACAAAAAAGAAAAAGGGCTACAGGGAGAGGTCAACCAATCTTGCACATCGAGTCAGGCGCACGACAAAGCTGACTCTAACACCGATCTGTCTACACCCAAGCACTGTGCTAACCCTGCACAGGAGGGGCAAGGGAAGGACCCGTGTGCAACACGCAGAGGCCAGCACAAACGAGGGCTCCCTCCCTGAGTGTGAGAGTGGAGGGTCCGGGATCTGAACACAGGTGGTCTAGAACTTGTTAACCCACTAAGCAGTATATCACTGACTTCAAAAAAAATTTTTTTTAATGTTTTATTTATTTCTAGGAGAGAGAGAGAGACAGCGTGAGCAGGGGAGGGCCAGAGAGAGAGGGTGTCACAGACTGAAACAGGCTCCAGGCTCCGAGCTGACAGTCAGCACAGAGCCCGACGCGGGGCTCGAACCCACGAACCGCGAGATCATGACCTAAGCGAAAGTCGGACGCTTAACCGACTAAGCCACCCAGGCGCCCCTGACTTCAAAAAATATATATTATTATTTTACATTTTGAGGAATTAAAAAAAAATTCTTTGTCTTCATAATATGTAAGTAATTTGGAAGATGTGTCAGAAAGGAGGCTGGTGGGGAGAAGGCGGCCACAGAAAAAAGTCTGAATCGCCAAACTCTGACATGAGTCCAGAAAGCCTGGGGGGCAGGCGGGGTTGAGAAGCCCAGGACACGGGGTGCCCAGGAAAGGTGAACTAAGGACACGGGGGCTGCCGTAAAAAGCCAGCCCAGCACAGAAAGAAGAGGGCGACAGAGCACACGATCAATGTCTATAAATTATGTAAATTATCAATAGGTGGCCCCTGAACGGTAACCGAATTCCAGATCAGACCCAGAGCCTCTCCGCATGGTCCCATCATCGAGAAGGTCTCCATTCAAAAGACACTCAAACGAAGCAGAGGCGGCGCATTTATTCACCGGGCAGGTGTCCGGGGAGTCGGGCGCCGTGCTAGGCACGAGGGGCTGTACAAGCACGTACAGCACATGCGCCCAGGAGCTCACAGTGTGGGGGGAGGGGGAAGCCGGCTGCCGAGGGTGCACCGTGTGCCAGGAGCCATCCTGGGCACCGGGCTGTAAGCCTGACCGAGGCACAAGTCTGCCGCTGTGCACGAGGCATGAGCAGGTCTACGCGGGGACAGGGGTGTTCTGCCTCAGCCCCTGAGAGGACATGAAAGGCGACCCCGAAGGATGTGCTCAGCAGCACGAGGAGATGGGGAAACGGCCAGCGGAGGCGGAGGGAGAGAGCACGAGGCAGCTGAGCGGGGACGGACCGCTGGGGCAGTGACCGTGGGAGGCCCGGCTGGGGGGGGAACCCCAGGAAGCGAGGCCCTGGCACACTCACAGTTCAGTCCACGAGAGGGTGGCGGCCTCACAAGCTATCAGGTAATAAAAGCAGCGGGGAGGGCTAACCCACTGCGGCAGCTGAGCCCCCTCCCCGTGGCTCCCCACGTCCCTCTGCACCATGTCACATCCGGCTGCCAACCTTTTAAAGCAAACACAGAACTGCAACCTACTCTCAATCATCTCCTGAAAGATTACTAAACGTCAAATCTAAGAATCTTCTCTCCTCGCGGCGCCTTGGGGGGGCTCAGTCGGTTAAGCATCCACTTCAGCTCAGATCATGATCTCACAGTTTATGAGTTCGAGTCCCGAGTCCGGCTCTATGCTAGCCAGCTCAGATCCTGGAGCCTGTTTCTGATTCTGTCTGTCTGTCTGTCTCTCTCCCTGCCCCTCCCCAGCTCACATTCTCTCTTTCCCTCAGAAATAAACAGTAAAAAAAAATTTTTTTTAATGTTCTATTTATTTCAGAGAGAGAGCGAGCGAGCGAGCGAGCAGGGGAGGGTCAGAGAGGGAGATACAGAATCTGAAACAGGCTCCAAGCTCTGAGCTAGCTGTTAGCACAGAGCCCGACGTGGGGCTCGAACCCATGAACCGTGAGATCATGACCTGAGCCAAAGTCGGACGCTTAACCAACTGAGCCACCCAGGCGCCCCAATAAAAAAATTTTTTAAAATCATCTCTTCTCAATGCTGT